ATTATTCTCACAAATCGATTCTTACACATTAGAGGGGTTTATATTAAATTTATATATATGCAGCCAATCAAACTACAGTATTAAACTACATAATAATAAATAAATTGAGGTGCCTTATCTTATTGTATGGTAGGCCTAGTCCACCAGGTATAACTTGGATGTGGACACCAAATAATTCTCGTGTGAGCCTAGCTTCCATCACCCCAGTAACTGATGTACCAAGATTAATTCTTGCTTCCTTTTCTTGTTCCTGTCAAAGGACACTAGCTATAAAGCCAGAATCCTAATATATGACAGCTATATCAGATGAAACATTTATAAGGACATTTATAACATTTATAAGATAAGGACCACGGTTTAATTACCTGTATTTTGTGGCTTGTCTAGTGTCCTAACCGGTTCGCCCTATATCTACTTAACATTAACTGGCCAAAAATGATTAGATAAACGAGTTTCGGTAATACACTTAACTTGTTTATGTTGACTGTGTGTTGATGATGGAAGAAGCACTAATTTGATCTCTATGACACTTCGTCCAAGAGAATTTATAGGAGCTGAATTTACTCCAGCTACTATGTTTTTAACAATGGCTGACCTCCCTCACCACTGACGCTACTGGCTCTCTCTTTTTCCAGATGTCAATAACTGATAGAAGGGTTACATTTACTTTATTTTGATACTGATAATTAAATTAATTCAAATGAGATGTTTTTATGATATAAGTCCAAAGACTACTGTATTTAAGAATAATTCCCAATAGAATAGCTGGTGAATATATAGCACTATGTGGCAATGATATCCCGTTTTCTATTGATGGAAAATTCCAACTACAAGCTACATTTTCTATGGGTTAACGTGTGTATACAACAGCAACAATATTATCTGCTTATTGTATTTAATATTGGTATATGGTGTCGGGTTTTCCGACACAGAGCACCACCGCTAATAACATTAACAATCACAGTGCAACTCTTGATAACATGCGCTGAGAGCCACGGCCCTGTGTTTTACACAGGGCCGTGGCTCATTGGCATTGGGAGTCAGAGTGAGCTCCTGCTAACAACTCACTGTGATTAAGATTTCAGTCTCAGAGCCCAAGGCAGGTACGAGGCAGGTAAACTTGTAATTCCCGTGATTCACCGGCTCTGGGTTCACAGTCCGGCCGCTGGAGTTTACCTCATGAAAGAAAACAAGGTTTCCAGTTTACGCTCAGCTGATCTTCCAGACATGCCACAAGTTTATCAACATAACCTGAAGACTTCCACCACCGTCATTCCTCTTCCAGCATCCCCCTCCCTCTTCCAGCATCTCCATCCCTCTTCCAGCATCTCCCTCCCTCTTCCAGCATCCCCCCTCCCTCTTCCAGCATCCCCCTCCCTCTTCCAGCATCCTCCTCCCTCTTCCAGCATCCCCCTCCCTCTTCCAGCACCCTCCTCCCTCTTTCAGCATCTCCCTCCCTCTTCCAGCATCCCCCTCCCTCTTCCAGCATCTCCCTCCCTCTTCCAGCATCCCCCTCCCTCTTCCAACATCCCCCCTCCCTCTTCCAGCATCCCGCCTCCCTCTTCCAGCATCCACCTCTCTCTTCTAGCATCCTCCTCCCTCTTCCAGCATCCCCCTCCCTCTTCCAGCAACCCCCTCCCTCTTCCAGCATCCCCCTTCCTCTTCCAGCATCCCCCTCCCTCTTCCAGCAACCCCCTCCCTCTTCCAGCATCCCCCCTCCCTCTTCCAACATCCCCCCTCCCTCTTCCAGCATCCCGCCTCCCTCTTCCAGCATCCACCTCTCTCTTCTAGCATCCTCCTCCCTCTTCCAGCATCCCCCTCCCTCTTCCAGCAACCCCCTCCCTCTTCCAGCATCCCCCCTCCGATTCCAGCATCCCCCTCCCTCTTCCAGCAACTCCCTCCCTCTTCCAGCATCCCCCTCCCTCTTCCAGCATCCCCTCTCTCTTCCAGCATCCCCCCCTCCCTCTTCCAGCATCCTTCCTCCCTCTTCCAGCATCCCCCCTCCCTCTTCCAGCAACCCCCTCCCTCTTCCAGCATCCCCCCTCCCTCTTCCAGCATCCCCCCTCCCTCTTCCAGCAACCTCCTCCCTCTTCCAGCATCCCCCCTCCCTCTTCCAGCATCCCCCCTCCCTCTTCCAGCAACCCCCTCCCCCTTCCAGCATCCCCCCTCCCTCTTCCAGCATCCCCCCTTCCTCTTCCAGCAACCTCCTCCCTCTTCCAGCATCCCCCTCCCTCTTCCAGCAACCTCCTCCCTCTTCCAGCAAGTAGAGTCATACACCAGCTGGGGAAGTCATATATACCAGCTGGTGGAGTCATACACCAGCTGGGGGAGTCATACACCAGCTGGTGGAGTCATACACCAGCTGGGGGAGCCATACACCAGCTGGTGGAGCCATACACCATCTGGGGGGAGTCATACACCAGCTGGGGGAGTCATACACCAGCTGGGGGAGCCATACACCAGCTGGGGGAGCCATACACCAGCTGGTGGAGTCATACACCATCTGGGGGAGTCATACACCAGCTAGGGGAGCCATACATCAGCTGGGGGAGTCATACACCAGCTGGGGGAGCCATACACCAGCTGGGGGAGTCATACACCAGCTGGGGGAGTCATACACCAGCTGGTGGAGCCATACACCAGCTGGTGGAGCCATACACCAGCTGGTGGAGCCATACATCAGCTGGGGGAGTCATACATCAGCTGGTGGAGTCATACACCAGCTGGATGAGTCATACACCAGCTGGTGGAGTCATACACCAGCTGGATGAGTCATACACCAGCTGGTGGAGTCATACACCAGCTGGATGAGTCATACACCAGCTGGGGGAGCCATACACCAGCTGGTGGAGTCATACACCAGCTGTATGAGTCATACACCAGCTGGTGGAGTCATACACCAGCTGGAGGAGTCATACACCAGCTGGTGGAGTCATACACCAGCTGGGGGGGTCATACACCAGCTGGGGGAGCCATACACCAGCTGGTGGAGTCATACACCAGCTGGGGGAGCCATACATCAGCTGGTGGAGCCATACACCAGCTGGTGGAGTCATACACCAGCTGGTGGAGTCATACACAAGCTGGGGGGGGTGGTCATACACCAGCTGGTGGAGCCATACACCAGCTGGGGGGTCATACACCAGCTGGGGGGGTCATACACCAGCTGGGGGAGTCATACACCAGCTGGTGGAGTCATACACAAGCTGGGGGGGTCATACACCAGCTGGTGGAGCCATACACCAGCTGGTGGAGCCATACACCAGCTGGTGGAGTCATACACCAGCTGGGGGAGTCAAACACCAGCTGGTGGAGTCATACACAAGCTGGGGGGGTCATACACCAGCTGGGGGAGTCATACACCAGCTGGTGGAGTCATACACCAGCTGGGGGAGTCATACACCAGCTGGTGGAGTCATACACCAGCTGGTGGAGTCATACACCAGCTGGTGGAGTCATACACCAGCTGGGGGAGTCATACACCAGCTGGTGGAGTCATACACAAGCTGGGGGAGCTATACACCAGCTGGGGGAGTCATACACCAGCTGGGGGAGCCATACACCAGCTGGGGGAGTCATACACCAGCTGGTGGAGTCATACACAAGCTGGGGGGGTCATACACCAGCTGGGGGAGCCATACACCAGCTGGTGGAGTCATACACCAACTGGTGGAGTCATACACCAGCTGGTGGAGTCATACACCAGCTGGTGGAGTCATACACCAGCTGGGGGAGTCATACACCAGCTGGTGGAGTCATACACAAGCTGGGGGAGCCATACGCCAGCTGGGGGAGTCATACACCAGCTGGGGGAGCCATACACCAGCTGGGGGAGTCATACACCAGCTGGTGGAGTCATACACAAGCTGGGGGGGTCATACACCAGCTGGGGGAGCCATACACCAGCTGGTGGAGTCATACACCAACTGGTGGAGTCATACACCAGCTGGTGGAGTCATTCACCAGCTGGGGGAGTCATACACCAGCTGGGGGAGTCATACACCAGCTGGTGGAGCCATACACCAGCTGGGGGAGTCATACACCAGCTGGTGGAGCCAGTAACAAACATGATGAAGTACGTACACACTGCTCTCTGGGGTTCAACAGACACAACATACTGCCAGGACTGGTCGAGAGACGCCGCCTGGAGTGTAGATGCTCCAGATCTCTGCCTCCTGACTTCCTCGCTCACACTCCAGACGGCTGGAGTGATAAGGACCGCCAGAGGGTTGGCGGCCCTTACCATCCCGCTCCAGGGGGCTGGCGGCCCTTACCATCCCGCTCCAGGGGGCTGGCGGCCCTTACCATCCCGCTCCAGGGGGCTGGCGGCCCTTACCATCCCGCTCCAGAGGGCTGGCGGCCCTTACTATCCCGCTCGAGGGGGCTGGCGGCTCTTACTATCCCGCTCCAGGGGGCTGGCGGCCCTTACCATCCCGCTCCAGGGGGCTGGCGGCCCTTACCATCCCGCTCCAGGGGGCTGGCGGCCCTTACCATCCCGCTCCAGGGGGCTGGCGGCTCTTACTATCCCGCTCCAGGGGGCTGGCGGCCCTTACCATCCCGCTCCAGGGGGCTGGCGGCCCTTACCATCCCGCTCCAGGGGGCTGGCGGCCCTTACTATCCCGCTCCAGGGGGCTGGTGGCCCTTACCATCCCGCTCCAGGGGGCTGGCGGCTCTTACCATCCCGCTCCAGGGGGCTGGCGGCCCTTACTATCCCGCTCCAGAGGGCTGGTGGCCCTTACCATCCCGCTCCAGGGGGCTGGTGGCCCTTACCATCCCGCTCCAGGGGGCTGGCGGCCCTTACTGAGTGGCGGAACAATTAAAACATCATCACCCACCAACAACATAAAATGACTTGTATCGCCCCAGCTGGCCGCCGAGGGCCCAGTGTCCCGAGCCTCGCACCGACCTTGGCTACAGCTTCAAGCACACTACTGGGACGCCCCTTCCTCACGTCCCGCTCTCTGAGTGTTCCTCTGGCTTTCAGTGAACGGTTTTCGTCAATGATACAGATGTTGCTGGGAACTATTGATCGGGAGAAGATAAAGAAGGATCAGGTGATTATCTCTACTGAAACTCGTGTGCGGGTCGTAATAAATTTTATCTTTCTGTTCATCAGCGTCCTGGTGTATTCTTTTTTCTGTTTCGGTAAACATCAACTGATCTGTTGCACACAGCACAGATGGACTCACCTATTTATGCTTGCGGGGGTTGAGCTTTGGTTCTTTGGTCCCGCCTCTCAACTGTCAAACAACTGGTGTACAGATTCCTGAGCCTACTGGGCTCTATCATATCTACATTTAAAACTGTGTATGGAGTCAGTCTCCACCACATCACTTCCTAGTGCATTCCACCTGTTAACTACTCTGACACTGAAATCGTCCCAGTGGCTTATGTGGGTACTCAGTTTCCACCTGTGTCCCCTTGTTCGCGTACCGCCAGTGTTGAATAGTTTATCCTTGTCTACCCTGGCAATTCCCCTGAGGATTTTGTAGGTAGTGATCATGTCTCCCCTTTCTCTTCTGTCTTCCAGTGTCGTAAGGTGCATTTCCCGCAGCCTTTCCTCGTAACTCATGCCTCTTAGTTCTGGGACTAGTCGAGTGGCATACCTCAGAACTTTTTCCAGCTTCGTCTTGTGCTTGACAAGGCACGGACTCCATACTGGGGCCGCATACTCCAGGATTGGTCTTACATATGTGGTGTACAAGGTTCTGAATGATTCCTTACACAGGTTCCTGAAGGCTGTTCTGATGTTAGCCAGCCTCGCATATGCCGCAGACGTAATTCTTTTCATGTGGGCTTCAGGAGACAGGTTTGGTGTGATATCAACTCCTAGATCTTTCTCTGTCCGTTTCATGAAGTACTTCATCTCCTATTATGTATCCTGTGTCTGGCCTCCTGTTTCCACTGCCTAGTTTCATTACTTTGCATTTACCCGGGTTGAACTTTAACAGCCATTTGTTGGACTCTTCATTCAGTCTGTCTAGGTCATCTTGTAGCCTCCAGCTATCATCCTCTGTGTCAATCCTCCTCATAATTTTTGTCTCGTAAGCAAACAAAGAGAGAAACAAGTCTATCCCCTCTGGGAGATCATTTACATATATCAGAAACAGTATAGGTCCAAGGACTGACCCCTGCGGGACTCCACTTGTAACGTCTCGCCAATCTGAGACCTCACCCCCTCACACTGACTCGTTGTCTCCTGTTGCTTAGGTACTCCTTTATCCAATGGAGTACCTTCCCTTTCACACCGGCCTGCATCTCCAGCTTTTTCATTAGCCTCTTGTGTGGTACTGTATCAAAGGCTTTCTGGCAATCCAAAAATATGCAGCCTGCCCACCCTTCTCTTTCTTGCCTGATTTTTGGTGCCTGGTCGTAGAATTCAATTAACCCTGTGAGGCAAGACTTGCCATCCCTGATCCCATGTTGATGCTGTGTTACAAAGTTCTTTCACTCCAGATGTTCCACTAGCTTTCTTCGCACAATCTTCTCCATCAGCTTGCATGGTATGCAGGTTAGGGACACTGGCCTGTAATTCAGTGCCTCCTGTCTATCCCCTTTCTTGTATATCGGGACTACGTTAGGTACTTTCCAAATTTCTGGCAGTTCCCCTGTTGCCAGTGATTTGTTATACACTATGGAGAGTGGCAGGCACAGTTCTTCTGCTCCTTCCTTTAGTATCCAAGGGGAGATTCCATTTAGGCCTATAGCCTTTGTCACATCCAACTCTAGTAAACACTTCCTTACTTCCCCGCTGGTAATCTCAAAATCTTCTAGTAATTCCTGGTTAATTATTCCCTCTCTTATCTCTGGAATTTCTCCATACTCTTAGGTGAAGACCGCCTGGAATTTTTAATTCAGTTCCTCACACACTTCCTTGTCGTTTGTAGTGAATCCTTCTGCCCCTATCCTTATTGTCATTGCCTTTACTGTGTGTGTGTGTGTGTGTGTGTGTGTGTGTGTGTGTGTGTGTGTGTGTGTGTGTGTGTGTGTGTGTGTGTGTGTGTGTGTGTGTGTGTGTATTCACCTAGTTGTGATTGCGGGGGTTGAGCTCTGCTCTTTCGGCCCGCCTCTCAACTGTCAATCAACTGTTGCTAACTACTAACTAATGTTTTTTTTTTGGTTATCTTTTCACACGCACCCACCCAGGAAGCAGCCCGTAACAGCTGTCTAACTCCCAGGTACCTATTACTGCTAGGTAATAGGGCATCAGGGTGAAAGAAACTCTGCCTATTGTTCCTCTCCAGCGCCGGAATCGAACCCGGGCCACAGGATTACGAGTCCCGGTGGTGGTGGTGTTGGTACTGGTGGTGACGGTGGTGGTGTCAGAGAGAGCTGACCGCTCCGAGGAGACACTGGGGGGGGGGGGGGGGGGGAGGCGAGATTGTGTACAACAACAATTTATTTTCATTTTGCAACAATTTGCGGACGGTTGTTCCCTGAGGTGGAGGAGGGAGGAGCTGGGGTCTCCCTGGACGGTTATCGTCTGATATCATGGTTGTGACTCATATTTACCTCACACTGACATGTGCCTTGGTGGTGTTACCCAGCCACATGTGTATGAGCTTATTTCCATATATCTGACAGTTTTTATCAGCGCTATTTGATGCAATAATATATATATATGATATATATATATATATATATATATATATATATATATATATATATATATATATATATATATATATATATATATATATATATATATTTGCAAGTGTGTAATTAGGGCGTATTTTGTGTGTTGACAATTTTTACAAAATACGTGAAGTTTGAGCATGGCAATAAGATGGTGTACACAGGTGACTGAGAGGGACCTGACCTCCCGCTGAGCTCTACAGGCTTCGCTCACATGCGCAAAAAAAGATTCATTCTACCTTCGAGAGTATTTTTATAAACTGGTTGTACCAGTTTATAAAAATTAGTCTCTGTACTAATGTAATCATTACATTACAGTAGTACAGAGATGTACTGTGTCTCATCTCTTGAGAGAGAGATGATACGATGAGCTATTCACCAGACTGTCTTATGCTGCTGGTACTGCCGCCTATAAACGGTCTCTCGCGAGAAGGCAAAAAAACATGTCTTAAAGAAACCGCAAAGAGGATTATATTGACAGGCTCAGAGTAAGGGTAATCCCGATAGCCATGTCGCCAGACGCGACGCCCTGCCACCCTCCCTAAGCCGCCCACCCAGCCGCCCTCCCAGCCGCTCTCCCAGCCGCCCTCCCAGCCGCTCTCCCAGCCGCTCTCCCAGCCGTCCTCCCAGCCGCCCTCCCAGCCGTCCTCCCAGCCGCCCTCCCAGCCGCCCTCCCAGCCGCCCTCCCAGCCGCCCTCCCAGCCGCTCTCCCAGCCGTCCTCCCAGCGCTCGCTCTCCCAGCCGCCCTCCCAGCCGCTCTCCCAGCCGCCCTCCCAGCCGCTCTCCCAGCCGCCCTCCCAGCCGTCCTCCCAGCCGCTCTCCCAGCCGCCCTCCCAACCGCCCTCCCAGCCGTCCTCCCAGCCGCCCTCCCAGCTACCCTCCCAGCCATCCTCCCAGCCGCCCTCCCAGCCGTCCTCCCAGCCGTCCTATGAAACCCTGAACAAAGATTTTTTCATCAGATTTTTAGCCCCCACATGACACTACCGTCCAGCACCTGAAGGCCGCCAACTGCCTCACTTTACCGTAAGTTTGGTGGACGTGTTGGTGGCGCGGCCCCGTCCACGGTCGCCACACCTGCCGCTCCCCGCACTCACATCTCCTCATAATAACAAATTCCCAGGGCGGCCGGGCGTGAGGGAAGGATAGCGGAGAATGAGGAGGTTGGTGGGTTATGAGCGGGAGGTGGAGCGTGAGGAGAGGATGGTGGGGCATGAGGAGAGGATGGTGGGGCATGAGGGAAGGGTGGTAGGGCATGAGGAGAGGATGGCAGGGCATGAGGAGAGGATGGTGGGGCATGAGGAGAGGATGGTGGGGCATGAGGGAAGGGTGGTAGGGCATGAGGAGAGGATGGCAGGGCATGAGGAGAGGATGGTGGGGCATGGAGGAAGATTGGCAGGGCATGAGGAGAGGATGGCAGGGCATGAGGAGAGTATGGCAGGGCATGAGGAGAGGATGGCAGGCATGAGGAGAGGATGGCAGGGCATGAGGAGAGGATGGCAGGGCATGAGGATAGGATGCAGGGCATGAGGAGAGGATGGTAGGGCATGAGGAGAGGATGGCAGGGCATGAGGAGAGGATGGTGGGGCATGAGGAGAGGATGGTGGGGCATGAGGAGAGGATGGTGGGGCATGAGGAGAGGATGGCAGGGCATGAGGAGAGGATGGCAGGCCATGAGGAGAGGATGGCAGGGCATGAGGAGAGGATGGCAGGGCATGAGGAGAGGATGGCAGGGCATGAGGAGAGGATGGCAGGGCATGAGGAGAGGATGGCAGGGCATGAGAAGAGGATGGCAGGGCATGAGGAGAGGATGGCAGGGCATGAGGAGAGGATGGTGGGGCATGAGGAGAGGATGGTGGGGCATGAGGAGAGGATGGTGGGGCATGAGGAGAGGATGGCAGGGCATGAGGAGAGGATGGTAGGGTATGAGGAGAGGATGGGGGCATGAGGAGAGGATGGTAGGGTATGAGGAGAGGATGGTGGGCATGAGGAGAGGATGGTAGGGTATGAGGAGAGGATGGTATGGTATGAGGAGAGGATGGTGGGGCATGAGGAGAGGATGGTGGGTCATGAGAGAGGATGGTGGGCATGAGAGAGGATGGTAGGGTATGAGGAGAGGATGGCAGGGCTTGAGGAGAGGATGTAGGGTATGAGGAGAGGATGGTGGGGCATGAGGAGAGGATGGTGGGGCATGAGGAAGGATGGCAGGGCATGAGGAGAGGATGGTGGGGCATGAGGAGAGGATGGTAGGGTATGAGAAGGGATGGTGGGGCATGAGGAGAGGATGGCAGGGCATGAGGAGAGGATGGTGGGGCATGAGGGAAGGTGGTAGGGCATGAGGAGAGGATGGTAGGGTATGAGGAGAGGATGGTGGGGCATGAGGAGAGGATGGTAGGGTATGAGGAGAGGATGGTGGGGCATGAGGAGAGGATGGTGGGGCATGAGGAGAGATGGTGGGCATGAGGAGAGGATGGTGGGGCATGAGGAGAGGATGGTAGGGTATGAGGAGAGGATGGCAGGGCATGAGGAGAGGATGGTAGGTGTATGAGGAGAGGATGGTGGGCATGAGGAGAGGATGGTATGGCATGAGGAGAGGATGGCAGGGCATGAGGAGAGATGGTGGGGCATGAGGAAGGATGGTAGGGTATGAGGAGAGGATGGTGTGGCATGAGGAGAGGATGGCAGGGCATGAGGAGAGGATGGTGGGGCATGAGGGAAGGGTGGTAGGGCATGAGGAGAGGATGGCAGGGCATGAGGAGAGGATGGTGGGGCATGAGGAGAGGATGGCAGGGCATGAGGAGAGGATGGTGGGGCATGAGGGAAGGGTGGCAGGCATGAGGAGAGGATGGTGGGGCATGAGGAGAGGATGGTGGGGCATGAGGAGAGGATGGTAGGGCATGAGGAGAGGATGGCAGGGCATGAGGAGAGGATGGTGGGGCATGAGGAGAGGATGGTGGGGTATGAGGAGAGGATGGTGGGGCATGAGGAGAGGATGGCAGGGCATGAGGAGAGGATGGTGGGGCATGAGGAGAGGATGGTAGGTATGAGGAGAGGATGGCAGGGCATGAGGAAGGATGGTGGGGCATGATGAGAGGATGGTGGGGTATGAGGAGAGGATGGTGGGTGTATGAGGAGAGGATGGTGGGCATGAGGAGAGGATGGTAGGGTATGTGAGGAGAGGATGGTAGGGTATGAGGAGAGGATGGTAGGGCATGAGGAGAGGATGGCAGGGCATGAGGAGAGGATGGCGGGGCATGAGGAGAGGATGGTGGGGCATGAGGGAAGCAGTGGGGGGGGGGGGGGGACACCAAGGGTGGCTATGATCAATAATCTCACACCAGCATACAAAGTCAAAATTTGGGCCCCAGAGGGCGGCGAGTGTGAGGGCGGCGAGTGTGAGGGCGGCGAGTGTGAGGGCGGCGAGTGTGAGGGCGGCGTGTGTGAGGGCGGCGAGTGTGAGGGCGGCGAGTGTGAGGGCGGCGAGTGTGAGGGCGGCGAGTGTGAGGGCGGCGAGTGTGAGGGCGGCGAGTGTGAGGGCGGCGTGTGTGAGGGCGGCGAGTGTGAGGGCGGCGTGTGTGAGGGCGGCGAGTGTGAGGGCGGCGAGTGTGAGGGCGGCGAGTGTGAGGGCGGCGTGTGTGAGGGCGGCGAGTGTGAGGGCGGCGTGTGTGAGGGCGGCGAGTGTGAGGGCGGCGTGTGTGAGGGCGGCGAGTGTGAGGGCGGCGAGTTTGAGGCGGCGAATGTGAGGGCGGCGAATGTGAGGGCGGCGTGTGTGAGGGCGGCGAGTGTGAGGGCAGCAAGTGTGAGGGCGGCGAGTGTGAGGGCGGCGTGTGTGAGGGCGGCGAGTGTGAGGGCGGCGAGTTTGAGGGCGGCGAATGTGAGGCGGCGAATGTAGGGCGGCGTGTGTGAGGGCGGCGAGTGTGAGGCAGCAAGTGTGAGGGCGGCGTGTGGTGAGGGGCAGCAAGTGTGAGGGCAGCAAGTGTGAGGCGGCGAATGTGAGGGCGGCGAATGTGAGGGCGGCGTGTGTGAGGGCGGCGAGTGTGAGGGCGGCGAGTGTGAGGGCGGCGATTGTGAGGGCGGCGTGTGTGAGGGCGGCGAGTGTGAGGGCGGCGTGTTGTGAGGGCGGCGTGTGTGAGGGCGGCGAGTGTGAGGGCGGCAAGTGTGAGGGCGGCGAGTGTGAGGGCGGCGTGTGTGAGGGCGGCGAGTGTGAGGGCGGCGAGTGTGAGGGCCGCGAGTGTGAGGGCGGCGAGTGTGAGGGCGGCGAGTGTGAGGGCGGCGAGTGTGAGGGCGGCGTGTGTGAGGGCGGCGAGTGTGAGGGCGGCGAGTGTGAGGGGCCCTCACAGTAACGCTGCGAGGCCCATTGTGAGGGAGACTCATTTGTCGTCCCCGGGGCGTCTGCCAGCCACGCCACATAAACCTCAGCCACAAGAAATGTGGAGTTTGAGCTTCGCTGACGGTTTCCACAAGACGGATTTATGGTTCAAGATTTCATTACTGGCGAAATCTCTTCCCAGCGTCGTCTCGATGCCTTCTATAACTTATCTATATATATATATCTATCTATATATGTATATATAATATATATATATTATAATATACACCAGCAATACCCAGCCACGCCTTGCTGTGGCTGAGCAACGCACTGAGCCACAGCAACCTTCCCTGTCGCTCAGTCCTCCCAATCATTCCCCACTCCCCCGTCCCCTCGTCCTTCCCCACCAATAATCTCTCCCTAGTCCCCTCAGATCAAGAAGAAATTAACACGTGATGAGCAATATGACAATGTCAGACCTGGAAGGAAAAATTAAAACAGGAATTTCCTTAAGTACTTTCGTATTTAATCATTCATCTTGAGAAGGATGGAAATATAGTTCAGTGGGTGTGGATATATAGGCTGGAAAGAGGTGAGGTGACTTACAATGTCATTAATGAGATAATGGGATATTAATAAGGCATTAGTGAGATAAATGTATATCAATGATCCTACTCAAATCGCCCTTTAACGATTTAAGGAATCAAAATCAAAATCCAATCAAAAATGAATCTAACTTATATAAACTACTGT